ATAGATCTTATTATATTAACAAAATGGAAAACGTTTTAAAAGATGTCAACACTTACACTATTGTCAAAAAAAATCCGTGCAAAAAAATAGAGAACGATTTGAATGGTTTGTTGAAGAGATGGCTTAAGGAAGATTATATTTCAAAAAACGAATATTATAAATTACGTTGTAGTGATTCTCTCCTTCCAAAAGCGTATGGATTACCTAAAATCCATAAGGAAAACTATCCGGTTAGAATCATAGTTTCATCGGTTGATACGGCTCTATACTCGCTGGCTTCGTTTTTACAAAACACCTTACGAACTAGCCTACCCAAAGCGAAAAGTCATATTAATAATAGTTTTGATTTGTACAGCATATTGTCTGGTAAAAAGATTGATGAGAATGATAGGATGTTTTCCTTGGATGTGGTGTCTTTGTTTACGAACGTTCCTCTGGATCTTGCGATTGACGGTATTAACGATAGATGGGATCACATTGGAATAAATACTAAAATACCGAAAAACGAATTTTTGGGGGGTATAAAATTCATATTGACTTCTACATATTTTACATTTGATGACATAATTTATAAACAGACGTTTGGGACCCCTATGGGGTCACCGTTATCACCAATTATTGCAGACCTGGTTATGCAAGATCTTGAGGATACAGTTCTCAAAGCGTTGAATTTGGAATGTTTGTTTTATTTTCGTTATGTGGATGACATAATAGTGGCCACCTCTATGACTAATATGACTCAGATTGTGAATAATTTTAACAACTATCATGAAAGACTTAAATTCACGGTCGAACAAGAGGTTAATCATAGCTTGAATTTCTTAGATTTATCACTTAAAATTATTAATAACAAAATATATATAGACTGGTATCAAAAAGAAACCTTCTCAGGAAGGACGTTATCATTTTATTCAAACCACCCATTATGCCACAAAATTGGAATAATATATAACCTTGTAGACAGATGTCTATTGCTATCACATCCACTATTTTTTAATAAAAATTTGGAGTTAATTATTAATATACTCAGAAGCAATGGTTACCCTCTTGATCTGATTTTTAACAAAATTAATCATCGGATAGAACACATCATATCTAAGGGGAGCATTTTAGAGAGACAGGCCAACATAGAAAGAACAAAAAGTATAAGAAATGACTCGGTTAATAAAAAATTCTTTGTCATTCCGTATATAGATAGGGTCTCAGAAATGATTGTTTCCTCGGTGAAAAATAAAAATTGTATGGTAGGGTATAGATGTCTCAACAAACTGGATAATATTATTAAAGCACAGAAAGATAAAACTAAACATCCATGCAATTCGAATGTGGTTTATAAGATCAGTTGCAATAATTGTAATGCATCTTATGTAGGCCAAACAAAGAGGCAATTGCAGACGCGAATAAAAGAACATAAAAATAATATTAGGTTGGACTCAACGAAACATTCAGTAATTTCTGAACACATAATAAATGAACATCATACTTTTAATTGGGACAATGTTAAGATCATGGACAACGAAAATAATTATTATAAAAGACTCATTTCTGAGATGCTACATATCAAGGAACAAAAAAATGGACTAAATTTAAACAAAGATACTGAGTTACTTAGCGAGTCGTATTTTGATATTTTGGATATATTAGCGAACAATAAATAATAATAGGACAAATAGGACATTAACGAGTAAAACATAGATATTAGATCATATATAAACACGCACGCTCTCCGATCAAGTAGAGTTTAAAATGAGCTGTCTTTCTGTATTGTTGTTTGTTAAGTGTCATCCTTAATAACTGTTAATAAGTAGCAAAATTGTCAAGAAGAACGATGATAGGTAAGCATACTACCAATTGTAGGGGATATATATTATAATTTGGACATACGTTGATCGGTAATTTCTTATTAATCGCAGCGCCTACGGTACGGGTTAATTTCTCGCATATTAACGATGAAATCATCCGAGATCTGAACAAAATCAGAGATCATATCGAGGCGAACATTGTTGGACAGGACGGATTGAAACACGCGTTAATTGCTCAAAAACTCTCGATTCTGAATAACTATAATTAAATTTCGATATCATGTGAATTGTAAGAATTTATTTTTCAATAATTATACTGAAGAAGACCGCGTGCGGTCGAAACGTTTATAGAATGATTGTAATTTCTTAATTTCGTTATTTTAATATAATCTAAAGACTTCTTTTTATAATATAAAAATGTACCTATATAGGCTGTTGTTTCAATATCAGTGTTATTTGGTATCTAGGAGATGCTAAATATTTCGACTGCACTACAGTTTTCAATACATAAAAATCAAATATTAAAATACAAAATTAAATATTAAAATACAAAGTTAGTTAAATATTAAAATACAAAATTAAACGATTCTTCGCTGATGACCAATGGATGATTAAGACGATTGGTCTGAGATTCCAAGTTTTGCGACATTTAATCATGCTGTGGATATTTTACGCGAATTAAATTAATATCAGAGAAAATTAAAAAATCTTTCAACTTACATTATCGTTTTAATAAGTTCTTCTTCTCGACATTTCAAGTGTGTGTTGCGAAGTCTAAATAACAAACTGCTGATGCTAAATATCTTTCAGAAGGTATACAGATACTTCCAGAGCACAATGGCCTAGTTGTTATCTTAGACAGCTCTGATGATGAGTCGTCAAACGAATAAATGACATTATTAAGTCAGAACTTCCGACGAGGGTTTAAAAGATCCAAAACTAATTTTTTTAATATTACCATTAATATCTACAAAATTATACACGTTAATAATTGAGCCCAAAATGAGTGATTTCTTTTGAATTTTCCCAAAAAGCTTACGAATCCAAAACAATCGATACATATATATATATACAAAGATTTGAACTATAAATAAAAGTTACCAGTAGCAAGAGATGAAGCTGGCAAAATTCGACAACATATAAAATATAGACAAGAATCTGAAGAATTGGATCATCTCTCGAGATCAATATTTTTCCGCCTTCAAAGCTTCTTACTTACTATCGGCGAAATGCCATACACATACATATTCCGTTTGATCGGCCAAGATTTTACATTTCCAGTATAACTCCCTGAAGAGAGGAAGTTCTCTTTTAGATAGCCTCTGGCCGAAGAGACAGCTTAAAGTTTACCGATTTTCCCTTTGTGGTATCGTCGACGTGTCTCAAACGATTCACTGGCTTCTAGGGGATCTGCCTCTTCCTCTATTTCCTTCCCTCGTCATTTCCTTCGTTCTTTCGTAAATTCCAATTCCGTCTCTGTCTTTCCTTTTTCTCCTACAGTAGCATCCCCAAGTAAACGAAATTAAAACGCCGAGGTAAGTTTTCCCGGACTATGCCGGAAGAGGCTGCTATAGGAAACGGGAGGAAGTGCTGAAGGGCCCTCTGTTCTTTTTTCGTGAAAGTGCGGATGCCTTGCGGCGCAAGAGACTTGACCTTTGTGCTTGGCAACATTATTAAGTCTTTTGCCTCGTGTGAGAGAGAAAGAAAGCTCTGTAGAAGAACACGTGGATGATGCTCGTGCGGTCCCCGAAATGGCATCCGAAACGAAACTACTTCGAAATTCTTTCCCATGAAAGTTGAGAGAAATTTTCCCGAAGTATTCGTCTGTGACGTTAGATCGAGCCCATATTTTTACTTTTTTTTTCTCCTCGGTCGCTCTCGTCCCTTTGACGCAAAAGCATTTATTTTGGTTGTCGTTTCGCCACGAGGCACGTCGCGATATAGAAGAAAATAATCAATCTTAATCTTGAGGTAAAAGATAAAAGAAGTGACATAATATGGCGGTATATATAAGATACTATATCTTTTCTTTCGCAATGACATTAAGAGAGGGAGGATTATTAAGGAAATTGATAAAAACTTTTAGAGCCGCGTCATATTATGTATAATAATATATATAAGTACGCGATAAATGATCAAAGACTCGGTTTAAGTTACTTACTTCCATTAAGGCATAATTAAAGGAATAGACGATATACTTTATAAGTTCATAGTGTTGCCTCATTTTCATCTGCAGGTGCGTAAATAATACCGCAATACATCTTTCTTTCTCTTTGCACGTCGATCATGCTCAATTCAGTTAATTTTTTCCGACGTCATCTCCGAGCTATTACATTTTGTTCAGTCTATTAAAAAATATTACATATAATGAGAATGAGAGAGAGAGAGAGAGAACTTCGATCTTCTTCCACTTTTCCATTAATAGTGACACTTTTATACGCTTCGGTTACATTTTTCGCTTTTACACGTGTTTCTCATTCGCGAATTTTATGAGAAATTTTTATGCAAACTCATGATAAAATATAAAATGAAATATAAAGAAATCTGAAATTGCATATTACTTTTTTTTAATAAATAATTTTTTAATTTTGAATAATCTTATTTTGTATATTGCTTATTTATAATATTTTATAATTAGAACTTGTTGGTTATTTAAGAATAATACAATTATAACATTTACACGTTTGAAATATTTCTTCTCTCTCGTGAATATTATAGAAATTAAGAAATGATTACTCCTAAAATTACGTGAATTTTCCAATACTTGCACTCCAAAAATTTACATTGTACTCTCGAAATAACTCTCTGAACATATTTGTGAATCTCGTATGAAATAGGAAATTATGTTCTCAATTTAGCAATATATTTCAAATTGATTATTTTTGTCTTACAACTGGGACTTTATTTTTGAAACGGAACAAGTGAGATTTCGAACTTATAAAATATTAAAGTAATCCTTTTTAATCAAGCAGAATCCGTTTCTATTCTTGGCACGCAAAACAACTTTTTCGCAATCAGTCAGTTTTTCTTTTAATTCAGTCATAAATTACGCGATATTGTTGTGCAAGAGAGGGAGAGAGAGAGAGAGAGAGAGAGAGAGAGAGAGAGAGAGAGAGAGAGAGTTGATACTTATATATATATATATATATATATATATATATATATATAATAAATAGAAAATCTTTATTGGTGTTCCAGATACCGAATCATCTAGTGTGGCTTTGTTTTTTCTACTTGACATTTCACTCCCTTTTTAACCTGATGGGTGAATTGCTGCATTTCGCGGATCGCAATTTTTATTGCGATTGGTGGAACGCAAACAACATCGATACCTTTTGGCGAACTTGGAACATGCCGGTGCATCGTTGGGCTGTGAGGTGAGTGAAACGAGTTTTTATTTATAGCAACGTTCAATATTAGCTATTTTTATTTTTGGCTACTAATATAAGTTTCGAGTTTAATAATAAAAAAAAAAAAAATAATAAGTAATATTTATAAGTTTAATTTTAAATATGAAACGAGAGAATTCCTAGAGGTTCTTCAGTTTTCACACTTTGGGTTGTTGAGGGATTATTCTTGAAATTATATAATTGATTGATAAAGACAGATATATTTTGGTATCAAGCAATTGTTATCATCTTTATAGAAATTATTGACTAGATCTGTTTTATCGACAAATATTATTCTCATTTAACACTTTCCTTATGGTTTAGATTAGATTAACCCAATGAAAAAAACCGAAATAGAAAAGCTGTAATTATTTAACTTTCTTGGTTTCTTTTTATATACACATATAATAACCCAGATATAATAGCCCAAAATAAAGAGTTAAATAAAAATAATATGTGTCGATAAAACAGACCTAACTAGCATTTTCTTAATGTGATTAAGTTTAAAAAAAAATACTTATAATTAAGCTAAAAGATTTATCTGAACGATAATTTATTAAAACTCGCGTGGAGGTTGGATATCATCGAGTTATAATCGAGCTGAGATCCAAAACGCCATTTATTATTACGAATCGAGCAAGACTTAACACAATTGCGAAACTTAACCGCGAAGCAATCAGATTCGCAGGAAGTGCATGCGGTTAGACGTTTCCGATTCACGGAAACTTCTCTTTCTTTCCCCGTCAGATCAGACGGGGATGCCAGATATTCGCGAGAAATGTAATTAAATCTTCTTAAAGCAGGGCATACTTGTTAACGAAGTTTAACCCTGGTTAGATAGAACAGAGGAAGAGTCGATGAAAGGTCCGGCATGTAGCGAGTCGCGACGGCCTTCATCTCTTTTACCTTCTCTCTTTCTCCCTTTTGTCACTCTTTCTCTCTCGCACCCTCTTGCGCTATTTACCCTCTCGCCATCTCTCTATGCTTCGTAATACTCGGGCCTCTCGCGTAGCTTTTGCTCCGGAAGAAGGAAAAACTTTCGACGCTTTACTCCGCGCACTTTACACCTTTGACTCCGACCTGTGTCGGGGGTAACATGATTATGTAATAACGCAATACGCGTCTCGCTGAGGTTATTTCGCAGCTATGACCGTCATTTCAACGCGAAACACTCCGTGTATCGCCTTAGTAACGCCAGTGCGTCCTTACCAATTACGTAAAAACACCAGGCGAAAGAAGGAAAATGATGTCATGTCGCACGAGCTGTCCAACTTTTTTGTGTACACAGGAGTCTTAATTTTATTAAATTTTTCAAATTGCAGAATTCCATTTGTCTCTATAACAAACCCGTTCGATTAAAAATTCTGTAGAATAAATAAAAAATTGCATACGTTATTGTTACCTCGAGTTATTAACATCTGTAAGCCTCTACGTCACAATATAACATCTTACTCGATTTAACTACATATTAACAATGGCTGTTATTGAGATTCGCAACCGACCTCCTAACAGAACAATTAGCGAGAGATCTGTTTCGCGACAATTACATATAATTGTGACGTTGTGAGGAATAGAATATATACTAAAAAATGCTCGTGCTTTATAAATGCGTTGATCTCGGGTGTTAGCATATAACTTGACTTCGTATATTTTTATTATAATGACAGTGATGAATAATTTATTGTTAATTTCTACTAATATTTTAATTTTTAATTGATGCGCTCGTCGAACCAAATTTACTTCTGTATAATATTTAATAATTTATGTTATAAATTTTTTCACAAATATAATTCTAGTATAGAACTTATTTAGCTCTTATTGCCTTTTTATTTGTAGATTAAAATAAAAATTTATTTTAGATATATATTATTATCTATTCGAATTTTTTATATTATCGAAACTGCAACAGCAATTTGTGCATGTATCAATTTTTATTATAGAAGGAAGAATTTTTTTTTATATAGAAACATGCGTGTTCTTTCTTCTTTTACAAGAATGAGTTCTCGCGTATGAAAACCTTTTATTCCGCCTAAAATGTCTACTTCAACCCATACATCTCGGCTGTCGTCACCACATTAGATTATACATCCCACGCTCAATACAATCAGCGAACTTCCGAAAGACTTTTCCAGCGGGCCTTCCATCTTCTATACGGTTACCCACCGCACGTGCACCTAACAACTCGAGCCCATAGTGACGGCCTCCTTTCAAGAGCCCGCGTCGGGCTTCTTTGTACTTTGAAAGTAGCCCAAAAGAAAGTTTAAATCCCTGTAAAAGTGGCCGTACGAAGTTCTTATTATGTGACCGAGAGATAAGAGAGGAGCCATCGGAATTGCCACATACAAACTGTTCGGCGTTCACCATGAACGTCGCATAAAGAGCCTACTTAAAGAATCTACTTACTCTTCGTGCCAGGTTAGATATTATACAGGGTGCCCCATAGGAAATTGCTGAAACTAATCAGCTCATTTTTTTATTAATACATAAGGTTATTGAGAAAACAAAAATTGTGTTGGAAAGAGGAAAGTCTACAGGTTTTAATGGATATAAATAAAATGTTTGTATACCAGTTTATTTGATTGAAAAAAGCAATTTAAAAATGCTAATAATCACATATGTAAATTAGTAGTAGAATCTACTTACTCTTCGTGCCAGGTTAGATATTGTACAGGGTGCCCCATAGGAAATTGCTGAAACTAATCAGCTCATTTTTTATTAATACATAAGGTTATTGAGAAAACAAAAATTGTGTTGAAAAGAGGAAAGTCTACAGGTTTTAATGGATATAAATAAAATGTTTGTATACCAGCTTCTTTGACTGAAAAAAGCAATTTAAAAATGCTAATAATCACATATGTAAATTAGTAGTAGAATCTACTTACTCTTCGTGCCAGGTTAGATATTGTACAGGGTGCCTCATAGGAAATTGCTGAAACTAATCAGCTCATTTTTTTATTAATACATAAGGTTATTGAGAAAACAAAAATTGTGTTGGAAAGAGGAAAGTCTACAGGTTTTAATGGATATAAATAAAATGTTTGTATACCAGTTTTTTGACTGAAAAAAGCAATTTAAAAAATGCTAATAATCACATATGTAAATTAGTGATATATTTGAATTTGTACAAAATTCTGTTCTTTTATGAAAACTTTTACAAACTTTTTCTAACATGTCATTTTTAATGTCATTGACGATTCTTTTAATAGCTGCTATTAAATCTGGTACTGTTGAAAATATTTATCATTAGTTTATGTGATTATTAGCACTTTTTTCGTTATTTTTTATCAATAAAATAAATTGATAAAATTAACTTTTCAACACAATTTTTGTTTTCTCAATAACTGCATGTATTAAAAAATGACAGCTGATTAGTTTCAACAATTTTCCGTGGAATACTTTGTAGATATTGTAGATATTAACGAAAATATGTACCCTGATCTTTTTAAACGTTTTATACGTTTGTTCCAGACTGACCGAATCACTCGTTGATTGAAACAATTTTTTTCGATGATCGGCGCACTCTTTTCTTTTTATTGGTTAAACAGCATAATAAATACTTTTCTACGATTAAAGTACATATAGACCGATTTAATTAAAAACAAAAAAATTATTTAATTAAAAAATGAAAAATATTTTTTTGTTTTAATAATTGGGAGCTTGCAAAATATAATGATCTTTCTCTCAACATTTCGCTAACAAAAATTGTCCTCAAATAATCTAAGAAATCTCTCATTAACAGGTAATTCAGTAAATCTGGGAAACAAACTACACCTATATATATAAGATATGTCTATTTTTTTCGATATACCAAAGTCCTGATATTTAACGCGAATTATATACATCGTGACAAAGATGTTTAATTTCGTCGCTCTATAAAAGAGAGGCGTACCTCGAATTAATCATGACAGTCGTAAACGTAACTCAGAACGGTACCCAACTAGACGACGCTGCATAACCAAAACGAGACGGTCTTATAAAACGCGACGCGTATCCTTATAAAACGCGACACGTACTGTGAAAATGACCAGCGGTGTCCTCTTTTTAAATGCTATAAAAACGAGAAGGAAAATGAGATCCCCGCAGAAAAAGAGACGTCGCGCGCGAATTTCCGCGACACGGATTCCAAAGTCTTCCGACGCTCTCCTTTTTACTCCTCGCGACGCGCATCTGGCCTCACTTACGGTCATTTATTTCTCTTTTTTTTCGCGAGATACGCAGCTGCAGTCGCAATAAGCTGCAACTGGCACGCAGCTTACAGTATATACGTATACAAAGAAGGTGAAAATGGAAATGCACCCCAGACGACGTTAGACGCACCGGAGGTGTATCGTTGTTGACGAGAGAACGCCGAGGCCGACGACGACGACGTCTTTTCAGGTTTGTAATGGGAAAAGCCGATACGTATCGCGACGCGCACTTAAGGCTGTTTATTCCCCTCCGGCACTTATAATACCTCTATAACTGCGGAGATATTCTCGAGCGTCTCGGAGAAAAAGAAAAGCGAGTCTTGGGACCGCGGCAAAACGCGCACGGTCTGAAATCCTCGGAACCGTCGTCGTCCTACCTTTGAATTTTCTTTCCTTCCTTCCGCCTTGTGTCTCCTGGCACTCCTTTTTCCACGCCTCATCCTCTCGTCTCCTTTCCGATGCAGCTTCGCCGATAACCAAGCGGCGAATCTAACTTAACCAAGCGGCTAACGATTCTTTCCCCGAGTTGTCTGTTTCTCCTCGTTCCGTCATACAAACGAAAACGGTAACGGCAAAGTGTTGCCAATCCGGCGAAACTTTCCTGTCGGATATCTCGCTTTAATTTCTCAGAGCGGAATTCGCGCCTTTGTCACCGTACCATCCATACTTTTTATCTATCTTATCGGTCTAACAACGTGTATTCCACGACCTAAGAGCGCGGATACTGTGGAAATGTCTCTGTTCTCCCTTTGTGATGCCGATAATGATATTGTCGGCATAATAGGCGAACGTGCTCCAAATGGATTCCTTGTTATCAGCTTTAGAATCAGGACCTTTAATCGACCGAATTGTTTGGAGCGTTTTCTATTTGAGCAAATGTGTGCTCCAGAATGCACTATGTGGCTGATTCTTTTGGAGAAGTGATTACTGGAAAGAAGGAAACATTTTTTCTCCTACGTTTTATTTTTTTGTGACGAACTTGCAGATAAACATTTTATTCTATCTTTGTACAGAATATATAGAATGATTTTTGTTCGAGAATTAAGGGAGGTTTTTCATATAAACGTATATACTTCTATTTCTCTATGAAGAATTACACTACAAAGAAGGGGTAAAAATTAGATTTTTAATTTTTTTTCTCAAATTTTAGACAAGTTGAAGAAATTAAATTTGATGGATATTTTCCACCAAAAAGATATTTATTAATATTTTGTAATCTTCCCGTATTGTTATAAGGGGATGAAAGTAACAATCTCTATATGTATACATTTTTATTAGAACTTTTAATTGACCAAAATATGATAATCTAAAAATATACATTAAAAAAAACTTGATTTATTTAGAAATTTTTATTTTCTTTTTATTTTTTCGTAAAAATTAAGTTTTCAAAATAAAAATTTATAATACATTCATCTAGCACAGCACCGTGCTAAATGGCATAGGTTTTAGTTAACGAGAAGTTGAATTTTAAAATAAAAGAAGTTAGTAGAACAAAATTATATTAAATGTTGGAAAAAATGAAACAAAACAAAATTTGATAAAAAAATAGAAACTAATTATCATTTCCTTCTTTGGAAGAGTATAATTCCTCAGGAAGGGATATAGGGATATGTTTCTATGAAATCTTTATTCTTCTTAATTTTCGAGAAAAAATCATCTCCTAAAATATATTGCACTTATTTAGAAACACTTTGTATATTTTATATTCAATGGATATATTTTATATGAATGGCATATTTATGTTGCAGACACCTCTATATTCCAATCGTAGAGATGGGTTATAGCAAAACTACGGCGTCGGTGACCGTCTTCTTCATCAGCGCTTTCTTCCATGAATATCTCGTCAGTGTACCTTTGAAAACGTTCAAGATATGGGCCTTCATGGGTATGATGGGACAGGTAAGAGTTCCTTCCGTTTACTTCGACTATGTATTGTTGACTGTGCAAATATTGACTCTAGTGTCAAGAAATTCTTGTTTATCCTTCAAAAACTGTACGGCTTCCGACAGTTTCAATACACATTCTGATTTCAAGATTAATTCTATGAAATAGACCAGAATTCACTCGAACTCTTAAGAAAATTCTAAATACCGCCCTTTTATCGATAAAACATCATTTTCGCACATCTTTTTCCTTTTATTGGCTGAATAGAATAATAAATGCTTTTTCACGATTAAAGTACATATAAAAACAAAGCGCGAACCTACCGATTTTATGTTAAAAAAAATTTAATTAAAAATTTGCAAAATTTTTTTGTTCTTAACATAAAATCTATAAGTTCGCGCTTTATTTCTATATGTACATTAATCATCGTTAGATTATAAAGTTCCTAGATAAGGGAATATATTTAAAGAATATTCTATGTTAAATACGCGTTAAATTACATAACAATATAACAACTTGAACTAATATGCTTTATGGAGATTTCAAGAGGTTTCGCAGATACCGCAACATTATTCGGACCTTTGCATGAAATTAGGGGTTGCGTACTACATCTTGTATGCGCGTACAAGATCCATCCTGTCCGCCCTTAAGTACGGAAATTCCGGTCGTGCAACGCTAATTGTTCATTCTAGATACCACTGTCGGTGTTGAGCAAGATGGCGGAGCGATACTGCGGCGCCAGATGGGGCAACATCGTCGTATGGGCGAGCCTCATCATCGGGCAACCACTTTGTATAATGATGTATTATCACGATTACGTTGTAACTCATTTTGGCGAGACTCTAATCGAGGACTATTCCGTCGTATAAGCGAGATAAAAAAAAGTAAAAAAAAAAATTAAAACGCGAAAGAGGGACTTTTCAAAGAGAAGCTCGCGTTTTCTTTTCGAAGTTGTCGATTTCATAAATCGCGTAATTGTTCACTTATATTCTATAGGCGCGAAAAAGTTCCTCGAATTTGCTGTTCAACAGAAAATGTCTTTTTTTCGAACGCCGGAACGAGATTAGTTATTTCTTATAGTTTTTTGGATGCTGAATACGATGCGAAATTTCCAAATTGCTCCGTTGCGTCACAATTTTGAGAAATGTTTAATTAAAGTTGTAAAAAGGGATATTTTCATTAACTTTGTCATATTATAACAATGTGACGTGTGGGAGAAGTTTTATTGCAATCAAAATAAAGTAAGCTGTTAGGACTTTTAACCCTCAAAAGGAATTTTTGTGTCAGTTATGGTTAATAAGATATATCCATAGCTAAATATGAGTTGTGTTGCAAACATTAGCTGTGACTTACAGTTAGATCATTGACGAATTACTAAATAGCTTTTAAGAAATTTTTAGGTCATTGAATACGAATTTAATGTTAAAATTGTCACATTCAAAATGGTACTCAATATAGCAATATGTCAAAATATAAAAAAACAAAGACTTTTTTATATAAATACACCAATTTGAATTTGACAATTTTGACACTGGATTCGTATTCAGTGACCTAAGTCACAGCTATAATTTCCGCAATACATCCCATTTACCCATGGATATTTTATTCACCATAACCGATATCAAAAATTATTTTTGAGGGTTGAAAGTCTTAACAATATATTATTTGCAATAACACTTCTCTAGCATGTCACATATTGTAGCTATAATATAAATAAGTTCGTGAAAAAAACTTTTTTTTGCAACTTGAATTAATTTATCAAAATTGTGACTTGGTATAATTTGGATTATATTTAAAACCAGATTCGTGTTTAGCACCTAAAAAACGACTAGTCTCGTTTCGATTAATTTTTTTTTGTTGAACAATGTTATCATCACCCTGAATAAACTCTCTCTGAAAATTCAACAACAATGAAATACCTCAGAATATACATAATTGTTCGCGTTGAACGAATGGTGCATTTGAAGAAAACTGTATAGCTATTCGGGATTGTTTGAAGGTACTATTACGTGTGTTTTTATAAGTATGTTAATACATATAAATATGTGATGAAACTGTAAATAATTGCCAATCCGTCCGGTGTCATATGTATAGCGGAATTTACTAATTTTTGTACGGGAACTCCTTGATTGCGCTTCCGCGACGCCGGAGGCGGAACTGTTTGTCAAATAAATAAAAAATATTTTTTGTACGAGTGTCTTGTGGAAATTTATCCTGCACCTTGGGAATGGTCACGAGGTTACCGATGTATTATCCTTTCAGCTGGAAACTGGAGGGCTATGGATCGTTGAAAAGACAGCTTTTTAAGGGTGCGACCACGCACGTCCTATTTCCTCATCAATGAAGCGGAAATCATATGTTTGGGTTTACTTTGATACACACATTATCTTTGGACAATGAGAAATTATATCCTCGTTAAATTTTTATTCAAGTATCAAATTGAAAAATGCGGCAGAAAGTTATTTAATTATTTATTTGTTAGCTCATTTTTATTTTATAATTTCTAGATCTTCTTGCAATGTTTTAACCTTTGCATTTTTCAAAGCTTCTTGTCTCTTAGAAACGGTTTTTCCCGATATTGTGTGGCCTGATTTATTTATTTATTTCTTTTTAAATATTTTATGTAAGATCTGTCACAATGCTAGAAAACAAAAAGATGGTTAGATGAATAGCTGAATGATCTATTGGTTGTTTGGCAGAGATATTTAGGGTCGAAACCCTAACTCTCGAAAAAGAAACACTTCTTTCAGCTCTGACCCTTGAGTTTTTTCCTCTCTGATAAGTTTGGATGCTGTGTCTCCTTATGATGGATAAATTAATCATTCTGAAGATTGACGGTGGAAAATACATCTACGTCAGAGAATGATAGATACAGGTAAGATTCGTAAAAAACGTAGATTAGAAGTGCATAATTCTGCTTTCACAAGTAAATTGTAGTCGCAATTTGCGTTTGTAACAAACTCATTTATTTTGCATACTTTCTAAGCGTTAATGTATTATTTAAACGGACAGTCTACGTTATCTTTTATATTACGTTGCGATACATATTTTCATCTTCTAGTTAGTATATTAAGTAGATAGGATTTTATAGACATTACATTTATATGCGATGCGTCAACTTTTTCAGATTAGATTAGATTATTCAGGATCGCAATCTTCCAGAATATCAATGTTGTACAGGTATATATATATACATATTTTGTCGTAGCACAGAAACATATTAATGTCTAAAAAAAAGAGAAAGAGAAAATAAAAGAAATGATCTATTCTTAAAAAAAACAGGTCATTATTGATTCAGCATAAAAACACATTAATGATTAAAAAAAGATAAAAAAAAACGATCTAGAAAAAAAAGGATTTTTCGACGAGTTTATTTTTCATTGAAGATAACTTAATTTGGCGCAGCGCTAAAAAGACTTTCCATTTATCTTTATAAGTCTGAATTATTTTAAACTTTTACTACTCTCTATTTTTACATTTGTCATCTGTCACGCGTTTAACTGCAATTAGAAAATCTATATTAAAAAATGACAATTTCCTCGACAGTCAAATTTTACGACATCTGGAAAAAGCTCATATAAACCATGTTTTTTTTCAATTTTGTCGTGTTAGTGAAGAACATTGAACGTCTAGTCGTGGCGCTCGACAAATTGAATCTTATCAGATCGTCGATTTGACTTTAACGCTAATTATATGTACATATACGCGGTAAATAACTGCATCAGCGTCGAAATTCGGAGATAAGGAGAAACACTTTTGTGTGTTTCCCCTCTGGCAGCTGCATTGTTCCGTAAACTGATATGCTAGTCCGCCATGCCATAAAAACAACAGAATTACTTCTCTTGATATGTTGGGACTTTTTAATTTAATTGTCTCCGCGTGGGTCGCGCACTCGCGCTTTCTTAAATTAGCTTCATATAAAAATGAAGAGGAAGTAGGTATACTCTATCCGCAAAAATATCTCGGCAATTTCTCGAGACACGTGGCTGATTTGTACCGTATCACAATATCGCCGGGAGGGCTTTAAGATAAAAAGTGTTTGCGAAAGAATTCATAATTTGCAACACTCCCATTAACATTAATTCAATTGAGTGTGTCGAGTAAATAAAAAATGATAAAAAAAGAAAAGAATCTCGTGTCTTCTTATTATCACATTGAACTTTCACATTAATCATTCATATATTAATTTGTACATTAGTATGAGGATATTAATTGAATTTTTTTTTTTATATAATTATCCTCCTTTTCAATATGTTTTTTGTATCGTTGCACCAACTTCTTTAGTCCATTAGAAAAAATGTTTTTGGCTCTGTCAAACTTATAGCATTCCCCACTTTTAACTTTCTCTCCCTCTGATTATCACGTGTTTGGAAAAGCATCCCCTGAGATTGCTTTGAAAGAACGTAGATTTGGGAATGATGACGAAGTCAAAGAAGTGATGCCTTTCTGGCAGTGTTGCTTGTTATTTAGATAAAATTATATAGATGAAATTTTGGCAGTACCTTATTTTTATATAGATAATAAAAATATGTATTATCTCTATCTGTGTGCATCTTCGATCTGGAAAAAGTGTCATCTTTATTAAATTAAAAAGAATAATGTCATAGCATATATAAATATTTAAATAATCAAATTTAAGCAGTAAGTGATAAAAACTTTTAAATAAACGTATATGAATATATTTTTAAATCCCTTTTATAATTTATATTTTTTTATAACGATATTTACATAAAGGGGTCTTAAAAATAATATTATCTAGAAGTGGTTAATTAGAGATAATCATCTTCATCTTATCTCAGATGAATTTACCTACTTTTATCTCATCTTTATGTAGCTAATTTTTAAATTATTTAAATTCGAATAAGGGTGATTATATAGAAAAATGACATCATCTCTGTCAATTAAATTATACATCTCAAACTATTTAATCTGCAATTACTTTTCGAAATAGCCTCGTGTAATCAAAATTCTCGCGAAGAATAAATCACACCAAACCTAGATACACATATTCTCGAGACCTATCGCCTCTAAGACCGGAAACTAAGGACGACAAAGCGGTATGTCGCGGGAATACGACAAAGGGTATTTTTCCGCTTTAATGCAATTGCAAACAAAGGATTGAGTAACCGAAAGAGAGCAATGAAAAGGGAAAGAAGACCATTCCACCCTCCGTTCCGAGATCCTCGAGCTGCCGCGGCAAGCTCGGACGAGGCGTCCTCGAAGAATGCATCGGTCGGTCTCTCGCGTTATCCTGTATAAGGTGAACGGGGGCTTCGGGGTTGGGGGTTACGCGTCGCGTCGCGGAGAGGGGTGGCGCAGAGAGCGCAGAGGCTGGCGGAGAGACGGTGGCGCGGCGGACTAGGAAGGTGGAAGGGTGGTCAGGGGGCGCGGGGGGCGCAGTGCGAGCGCAACACGATGCTATAAGGGCGGGTACGCGGCGGAGTCTCCGCAGTGAGCGTCGCGACGCCTCCGCGGAGGGTATATCTCGCGCGCGATCCGCAACGACAGGTGATCGCGCCGGTGAACGCACGAGGCGTCCCGTCTTCTCTCCCTCGCGCGTCTATTACGGTGTGCAGTGACGGTAGGAGTTGTTTCGCCTTTATCGAGCCGCAAGCCACCTGGACGGGAGGAAGGGCGGCGCGAGAGACCCCGCGTGTATCCAGCACCTAACCGTGGAAGAGCTGCAGCTGCGTTTCGATCCGCCCGGAAGAGGAGCTCTTTCTCTCTCTTCGGATGACCTGGAGCGACCAGGTTGGTTTCTCTTTTCTTTTTACCAGATTTCGGAAGAGACAGGGGACCGTTTGTATTTTGGTAGAAATTTTCTTTCATAGCACAAGATAGTTCGAAGATATTCAGAGATATCATCCTGAGATATCATCCTGAGGATGTTTGAAAAAATATTTAAAGGATATCCAAAGGATATTCAGATGATATCCTCTGAGATATCATCCTGAGGATGTTCGAAAATATCCAGAGGATATTCGGAGAACGTCCTAAGGATATTCGAAAAATATTTAAAGGATATCCAAAGGATATTCAGATGATATCCTCTGAGATATCATCCTGAGGATGTTCGAAAAATATTTAAAGGATATCCAAAGGATATTCAGATGATATCCTCTGAGATATCATCCTGAGGATGTTTGAAAATATTCGGAGGATATCATCTGAATATCCTTTGGATATCCTTTAAATATTTTTCGAACATCCTCAGGATGATATTTCAGAGGATATCATTCTGAGGATGTTCGAAAATATTCGGAGGATATTATCTGAATATCCTTTGGATATCCTTTAAATATTTTTCGAACATCCTTAGGATGTTCGAAAAATATCCTCTGGATAGTCGCGAATCGGAATGTAAATTACACTTGTCACATTCATGTCGGCAATTATTTGGCGCACGAGAAATTTCCCGTGAGATGTACGTACATAATACCATTTTCCAGAAGGCATTAAACACAACATTCTAACCCTAACAGCACATATATCCCGAAGACGTTCGGAGAACATCCTGAGGATGTTTGAAAGCTATTCAGATGATATCCTCGGAAAATCCTTTGGATATCTTTCAAACATCTTCAAGTTGCTCTCCGAATATCCTTTGGATATCTTTTGAACATCCTGAGGATGTTTTCCGAACGTCTTTGGGATATCTGTGCTGTTAGGGTTAGAATGTTGTGTCTCTGATGCCTTCTGGAAAATGGTATTATGTGCATACACCTCGCGGGAATTTTCTCGTGCACCAAATAATTGTCGACATGAATGCGACAAGTGTAATTTACATTCCATTCAATTTAGACGCGGCACCGTAAATGGGAACAGAATGAGATAGGCGGAACGTACAGAGAGAAGGAGGAGAGAAAGATATATACATACGGAACAAAGCGTTACATAATTATAGAAGTAGTTGTCAAAGAAATTTTCTTATTTCTAGAGGAAACGTGATTATATATTTTTAACGACATTAAAGAGATTTATAATTCCATCTCGTTTTATTTTAGCCTTAGCCCGGTTTATGACCCTCTATTCTCGATATCCTATTACTGCTTCAGGAGTCAACTGAAAATACAAAGTTTTTTCAAGACACTTGTAGCAAAAATAGAGAGGACTTAATTATTTATCGAGCAAATATTATTCATAATTCATTATGCCGTAATATGAATGAATAAGGGGCAGGATGCAGAAGCCATATGCGAGATTGAAATATTCAGCGACTCCAATAATGCATAACTGGCAGATAAGGCTATCGGGTTGAACGTTACCTGATGAATAGTCGAGAGAATCCCGCAATGTTCCTGTTTATATCGTGAATATATGCCGCTGGACGGTGATGAATCCGATTCCCTCGCGATATTTACTCGGGACGTGCGCGTTCAAAGGTAAATCGAGTCGCGAACGTTTAACGAAAACCGGATATCCGGAGCGAGAGTGTCTTCGACGAGCAAACGTATCTATGTATACAATGGGTTCCTTTTGCTCTCACTTACAATTAGAGATACGACGTTGTTCCGCGCGTTTCTCTTCCGATTTCAATTACGATGCCTGCGACGCAGCTTGTCGTGGAGAAAAAAATTCATCGTTAATTTAAATGCGCATTGAGCTGTCCGCGTTACATCGCCGCGAATTTTACACGTCCCTTTTCACAACGTACATTTGCATGGCTTTTCATACGAGTCTTGCAAATTTTATAAATGCAGAGAATTAATTTAGTTGCTCGGCGCGTTTATAACCCGCTTATATAATCTGATGAGATATGTATATCGTGTATTATATAGAGGATCTTTTAAATGCGCGGTATACAAACACATCGACCTATCAAATCCTACATAGGTAGATATTTATTTCTTGTCTTTCTCGACTTTGCGAAAGGTTTTACATAAACTTGAAAAAGAATGTAATAACGTGAATGTAAAATGTAAGTTTAACATAATAATACCACTTGACCTAATTATTCTTTTATAGTAACTTTGATTCGATAGCTAATTTGCATTGTGCGCTTTAAATTATTTCTAGACTATCTTTAAAACTTGTTTTATTTTCTCTCTAAATCTCTCTTTTGTCTTATTTTCTTCCTTTCTCTTATAATTTTCTTTATCCAGCTGATTTCTCCTTCCTCCTTCTCCAATAATTGATTCATTTTACTATTGTTCCTTATCTTTACGATATCATTCGTTACTAAATGTTCTAAAGTTTTCCCTAACATATCATAAAATTCTTCATTTCCATGTCTGAATCTCGTAATAATTTTTCGAAAATCTTTCTGCGATTCTTCTCATCCTTGCTTTCTTAATATTCTGGGGTTCCTGTCGTATATCTAACTCTCTACATCTTATTTCGTATCTGGAATTCTGAATCTTATTATATTGCATCTGTTTTGGATCTTTACATCTCTTTCAGATAACTTATATACCACCTCGATCCTTCCTCTCGTAATCTTTTTACTTCTCTCCCAGACATTTCATTCCCGCGAAAATACATTTCTCTATCCGTTTACTATTTCCATTTTCTCTATGTGTATTTCTCTCCATTTCTGTAAAATATTCTTGTAGTATACTATTACTCGATTTTTCTCTAATTGTTTCCCTCAAATCTAATTGCTTTCCTACTTGTCTCTGTTCTTAAAAAATTATTTTTAAAAAAGTATTTTAATCTATAATTGTAACCTTTTTCTAAAATTCTCGAATTGTTTCATATTTCTTTCAATCTTAAATCTCTGCTCTATTAAGGTATTTTTTATCAAACATTCATGTATCATTTTTAAAATTTCCAAATTTTCTTAATCTTGTGTCCTTTATTTTAAAAATACATAATATATAGGCTTTTTTATGACTGTCTCTTTTATGTCTATTTTTTATTATTTCTTTATGCCATATATAAAATGATGTATTTGAAATGATCGACTTTTTCTATTTTTGTTCCGACGCAGAGCCACTATTTTTTCTTCTTCCTCACAATCAGTCTTTTCTAAAAATCGAATTAATTATCTTCGATATTTTTATAATAAGAATTAATTCTTTTTTCTCACAAATCTAGAGAATCTCTTCAACTAAATACTAAATATATCTCTCGATTATTCACATAAATTTCACTAACAATAAGCTTTTTATAATTACATAATCAAATATTTCGGAAGTATCTTATTCTAAGACAAAATATTTATACATTTTATTTTTGCACAAAATTTCTATCAAATATTCTATTAGGTATTCACTACACAAATGGAGTTTCTCTCAACAGCTCCATGTCAATCTCGGGCAGATTTCCAATAGCTATTATCAATTCATATGCTTCTTCTTACACATGCAATATGTGTAATCCACTATTAATACCTTCAGCGCAAGACTATACTCTCCCGAAGAAAATTCTTCTAGAGAAGAATTTACAAGATCCTCTTAAAAATTAATTACTTAGCGCCTGAGTTTTACTTGCGGCACTAAACGGCGTCGGTTAGTCCGCCTTAATGCGCTTCGTTTATAAACCCCCGTCGAAAATAGTCCAAGATCGATTAGCCCGACCCATCGGTTTTCTCTCTCTCTCTTTCTCTCGCCTGGTTTTCTTTTTCGCGTCCCTGGGAAAAACGTTATTCCCGTTTCCTCCGTCATTCCGGACGTCCGATAACAATGACTCGACGTTTGTTAAGAGCAACCACGCACAGCAATTTCTCACTGGTAAGAAAAATGATACGAGGACGTTCGCAACCGACGCATAGAAAATCGAAGCGATCATCATCGGTCGAATTATCATTATGTATGATTGACGGTGCTTCGCGAGTGCGATGACGCGAAGATTTCCGCGGAAAAAAGGTAGACGGATGAAATGGATGAGAATTGTGCGATTGTTTTGTGAAGATACAATTTGTACCATGATTTGTAAAATATATATACAGTACGCTCCCTAAGTTCGGAAATACCTTACATTTTACAGTTAAAAGTAATCACTTTCCAATAACAAATCATATAATAATTTCAATTGGAATCGTATTGCCTTTCCATATCAATTTAAATTGCTATCCTAGAAATTTGATATCTTAGAAAAAATATAAAATTCCATTTGATAATTATTTTTTATTTTTATTTGATTTATTATTACTTACTTTCTTCTTTCTAGAAGAAAAAAAGCTTTTACATCCTTTTTAACATTATCTGAATTTTTGTAAACGCTACAAATATTCTATCACGTGAATAGGATTTCAGGTGAAACGAACATTAAAATACGAGACGCCAATCACCATTTTATGTCTTACTGGAACTATGTATGTACACTGAAAAAAAATTTGTTAACTTTCAACTAAACCTTTCAACTAAATTACTACTTTGTTAATTCAACATATATTAGTATTTAAGTCAAATATAAATTTTGTTAGATTTAATATGTTATATTTAATTTAAATATTTTTACATGTTCAATTAACAAAATAATATTTATTTGAAAGTTAACATATTTAGTCAAGTTAACAAATTTTTTTTTTCAGTGTACCTATATAACTTTTATATTGTTCGAACAATGAAAAATTTATAGCTGATTTATAAGTTCGGAGGATTTTATATTATTCTTAAATTTTTTCTGTCTCTCAAAAATAAATTTTTTCATCCTAAAAATTGTTAAGATAATATTCCTTGGAGACTATTAAAGTATCGTATTGCAAGATATCCATACTAAATTGACATGCACATTTCATAAATTTTATTTATGTATTGTGGATTTGTTTGACCCTCGATTAATCTCCATTAAAGAAAGGATAGCTCCAT